TCATGCACCTGTTAAGTGCATTTTGCTACTTTATTCTCTTTCTGTTCCTGATCCCTTACTGTTCCTCCCTCTCCTCCTCTCCCTGTTCCTCCCAGTGTTCTTCCTCTACTTTCATCCCACACAGAATGAAGTCTGTATTGCCTGAGAGAGTAGGGAAAAGCCATGAGTGGGATCACCTCCTCTGCTCTATATGCCCTGCTCTTGCTTTCCCCAAAACTCCAATAAACAGCAAGAATTCCAAATAAAGTCACAACTGAAAATGTACACGAAGAATGCATGACCTTATCAGTGAAAATGAGTTAAAACAGTTGTGACTTTCATAAAACCTCTCCGTGGCTCCCCAAAGAGCCTGTAAAACTGCTCCTGTTTGTGTTTATGCATCCAGGTCTGCATGGGCAGTGGTAGCTGGGGTTTAAGGCTCTGTGGGGAGATAAGGAACAAGGATGCCACACACATGCTGAGGGGAAGGTCAGCACTGCTCATAAAGAAGGAAGCAGGAGAGYTTTTCTTCTCCCTTGCAGAACCTGCAGCTATGACTGGTATTTTATTTCCCTGAATTGACAAGTACTTTGAACAAGTTAAATATCCAGACGTGTCTAGAATATATTGTGTTTTTTTTTTTTAAATTCAGTATTTTTAACTCCATGATGGATTTTCATTCTTGTTTTCTCCCTGGGCTATCAAATACACACAGTTTCCCTTCAGTTGCTGTCCTTGAGGMGGACTATAGGCTGAGCTAGGCTGAAAAGACACTTGTCCCATATAAGATGCAGCTGTCTGGACAGATGATAAGGAAATTCTCTTTAAGCAGGAAAGATAAGGTGGTCCCTATAGATAGAATATGGCTCCTGTAAAACTTGCTTATTTTCAGCAGGGGAGTCTGTCACACTGGTTTGGAATGAGGTGTATATTTATCAATGTCTTAAAGCTTTGTATTAAAGCTTTGTATTAAAGCTTTGACATGCACTTAAAATAGCCCCTTCTAAGTTTAAAAATGTTCTTGATTAGAGGTGTCTTGCTGTTAYCAGTMATTAAGAATAAGAGGAAAGCCTTGYTTTTATATTCATTCTTCCAATRTTTTYCYGTAGTTTAGGGGTTTGAAAGTTCTAGTTCTAAAYTCTGGTGTTTGCTGGGATCTGATCTGTTTCCTAAGAAGAATATAAATGGGAGTAATGTTCCTCTCAGAGTAAAGGACCAAGCCAAAACAATCTCTTGATACTCCAACACTTGTACTACTCATAGTTACCTCATTCTTTTAGATGTTCCTGGTGGAGAGTTCATCACGGATCTCAATTGTTTATTGGCTTCCCTTAAGAAAGCCTTCAAAGGGAGCACAGAGCAAGCTCATGTTTTATGGCAGAGCTGAGTCAGCTGCAGTGKGGGATAAACCCTTTTCCAGTATGGGATAAACCCATTTCCAGTGGTGGTCTGCAGTGGCTCAGGAGCTGCCCCACAGTGTTCTGTGAGCTCAAGCTGTCTCAAGTGGCACAGGCAAATTAAAAAAGCTCCCTGCTTCTTAGAGAAATTTAATTTGATAAACCCAGAGTCCACCTGGTATCAGCAAAGTGTATGTTCCTGTAAACTGCACCRTACTGAATTTTACTGGGTCACCCACCCTGCTGTCTTCAATTATAAAACCTCGGAGTGCCCCGGTGATGTCACTGATTCCAGGATGAGCCGCGCTTTTCAGGAAGCCGGGGCTGCCAAATATCTGAACTGAGTGAGACAAGTCCCTGCATTATGAAGCTTTTCCTGGCTTTATTGTTTGTTGTGATTCTGGTTGCTTTGAGAAGTATTCCTGAAAGGCTTTTAAAAGACAGCAAGTAGGCAATTACAGGCTGGGTTGCTTTGTGGGARAGCTGGCACSAAGCAGGAGTGGAACCACCRYCCAAATGGGCTCTTTTCRCACTYGTTTWGCGAACCTGAYGAGCTGGATTTTTCTCCTCTAATTWTATCATTTTCTTAGGAAAATCTGGAAGGCCCACACCTTGAAATGTTCTCCTACTCTGGAGGTTACATTTTGCTGTGTGGTGCTGCCATCAACACACTTTCYCTAACTCCRTCCCACACCCGCTCCCATGTGGGARTSAATGCCTGTGTGTGTTTTGGCACGGTTTTGGCACCACAATTGTGCTGGTTGGGGTGGAGCAGGCGATAGGGAGTGGTTCCCATGAGCAGAGGGATGTTTGGCAGCTGGAGAAGTTGGCAAATGCATGTAAATCCGACCTGTGAATGACTTTTTACAAGACAGCTGTTAAAAAAAGAGTATAAAACAGTTCAAGTGTTACAGTAGTAATTTCTTTGCTTCTCCTAGCTAAAGACAAAATTAAGAGTTTTGGCTGAGCAAAGTTCAGTGTAACTTTAGATGTGTTTGCAAGCTGAAATTTTGCATAGAAAAAGCTGCTGCAATTTTACACATAAAAGGCCTACTGCATTTTACATTCTGTGTGTCTGTCACTGACATTTAACAAACTTCCTCATCCTGGTCCCGTTTGCAGTTCATTTGGTTTTAATACTCAGACTGTGTGTTATTCTTCACCTGCACCAGTTGTGAGATATTTCACTGGTTGCCTTCCCTGACACAAGCAGTARCCCAGTAAGGTGCTCTAAAAAACCACGTGGTTTTATAAATCTTGGAGGCACTGAGTATGACCTTGCCCACTCAGGTTGATCTCATGGGTGGAGTGCAGGATTACAGAGCAACCAACCGTGTTATATCTTCTGTGGTTTCCAGACAGACTTCAGGACAGCAGCTCTAAAAATGGAAAAGCTTCACTTCTTGATTGGACTGTTCATTTCTGACCATGGGCAGCTTTTCTGGAGGACAGCAAACACATGGCCTGGAGGTGACAGCCACCTCACAAGTTTTAGCTCACTGGTATGATGTTGTTTCTCAAGGACGATGTTGGCAGACTTCTTGACACTGTTAAAATTGCTCCTCTGTCTGTAATGGAAACCTTGGAGAAAGAGTTGAGCTGTTCTAGTTAATCTTTTCCCAGAATAAGTCCATCTAAAGCTAATATTTGTAATCAAAAATACCTTCCTAAAGTGTTGCAGAGAGTTAAAAGTAAAAGCGAGTGAAAACAGGTTCTTGAAAAGAGTCAGTCAGTGYGATGAATAGAGGGCTGTCCTCTCTCCACACATAAAAATGTAAACAAAGTGCAACCAAACGCTTCTGTTCCTGCTGCAAGTCACGAGGGGTTGAGTTTCATAAAGGGTTCCAGTAGGGAACAAAAGCCTGGGGTTTGGTCCAAGTGCTGTTAAAGCCCGTGAGAGGTTTTCTCTTTGGTTCYGGTGGGCTTTGGAGCCAAGCCATGGTGAGGGCTTGAAGGCCACCCTGACCTTTCGTGGGGAGACAAAGCTGAAGGTTTRGTTTCATCTCACTTGTACTTGCTGGAGCCTGATTAAAATCAGTGGGAACTCAAGAAACTTTGCACTTTGAGGCGCTCAGCCCTCAAAGACTGGTCTGACATTTAAGTCAGGTTTGGTCCTTAAATGTCAGCGTTTGACAATAACTAGACACCAAAGAATGAAAGTCGTCTGGTTTGCTTTACACTGAATGGTTTAGTTGCTTGGTTTTAGGCAYGGCACTTAGGGAAAGTTTTCTGAAGAGCAGTTCCTTTGTACAGAGCATCCAGATGTACTTCTTTCATCTTGTTAAATGCTGCCTCTGTTTCTTGCTGGCTTTGCCCTGGTGTTTTTTTTTCTCCAGTATAATCTCTTCTTCATCTTGCCATGGTGACCAGGCTTGCAAACTTCTTACTATAGAAAATTTGAACAAAACCTCAGTTATTAAAGACTCTTGGCTGCATTAGGAATGCAGCTTCGATATTGTTTTTCCTAAGACTTGAAGGGTGGAAGCMATCAGGTGATAGACTGTCTTGAGGAATTTGGAGAGGAAATAAGATACRTTTTATGTGCTCGATGTTCACGGGAGAAACATATGATGATTTCATGCTTGGACAGGTAACTTGCTTGAAGGTGTTGCAAYACAAACTGCAGTTTTTGTAAATCATTTAAATATTGTACCCTGATGCTGATTGTATGTTATACAGAAGCACCTGCAAATGTTTTCCTTCTGAATTTATTTTGTTTTCTTGATATTTATAGCTTCTTAAAATAACTTGTCATTTTTTYCAATACTTTTCTACCTATTTTATGCTTAAAATATTCCTGTTRTCTCTTCTGTATTTCTTTTTGTCATTGCACTATTACAATGATGGAGCATCTGTAAGGTTCAATAAAAATGGAATTATCATGAAATTAATGTCAYGAATATGACACTGTTATGTTAAGAAAGTTCCTTAGACTTTGGCAAGTGCTTCTACTCTATATTAAAAAAAGTGTTTAGTTTTGGCTCCAAATACAGTTTAATTTTACTCRTCGAGAACCAGGAAGGGTTTTATGAACGTTCCTACAACAATAAGCCACCTGTGTGTTTGTCTCTGTGCAATTAATTAYCGTAGCACTTTGTCAGCAAACTTGTGATGAAACTTAAGTGTGCAGAATACACTCCCGAAAAATGCTTAGAATGAGTTCTGCTGGATAGTTATACTCATCTCTAGAGGCCGAGCAGAGAGCTGGGAACAAGGAGTTTTTGCATTTTAATCACGGTCTAAAATTGAATTGCTCTGTTTGGGTGACCTTTTAAAAATGTGTCTCCGTGTAGTCTTCTGGGAGTCTGAAGACAGCAATCTCTCTGAGACACATGGGGGATTTTTCTGAGGATTAGGAAGTTAATTGAAGATTAAGAAAAAAAAACCCAAACCAACAAACACACCAAAACCAGATTTTGATGGCAAAACCGCAGTGTATTGTAGTGTGTTTTACTTGAATTAGTCTCAATATTTTACTTATGTGGAAAGGTCTTTGAAGAGTAGGAGTGATGTCATTATTACTGCTTTCAGGGTTGTTAAATCAAGGTACACATTTTTCTGCATTTGAAAAATGAGTTAGTGTTTCAAAGTACTTCAACAAACATTTGTTTCCTTATGTTTCAGCTACCTGACTGCAAATAACAACCAGAACTTCTTGTATAGCGCGAGGCCTTTTTTGAAGAGGGCTGCTTTGGTGATAAGCTATGTAAGTATGAATGGACTTGAGCATGGTGAGAGTGAACAATGGATAGAGGTATCCAAAAGACTCAGAAAGCTCAGATGGTAGATCTTAATACAAAGTTAGGCTTGGAAATTAGTCTAGAAAACTTCAGATGGGCAGAAATGAAAATATTACCATGTTTTTAGTTAAAACCTTTTGATTTATAGTGGTTGCCACTGCAGTCATGTAGTCATCTGCAGGTACTTCCTGCCCTAAATACAGGGGACTCTGGCACTGGGCTGCCCTGTCAGTGACATGGTGTTAATGGCAGTGCAGCTCAGTGAGAATTGTTAGAAAAATTCCTCCTTGATGTTCTCCAAGCAGGACTCAACGTGTTGTAGAGGAGGAAACAAGCCCTTCCATGGGAATGTTGGGAGTGTGCAGCTCTGTGTGCTGGTGCTCCAGAGCCAGATCCCCTTGCTTGTCCCTGGACAAGTGGTTACCAGAAAGGTGAAGGAGTGGCAGCTTGMAGAAATCATCCCTGGAATTAGGATTACACAGCATGAGAAGCACCAATGGAGCTTGTCCTTACACCTATCCCAGYGTGGATGAAGGATAAGAACTTTTAAGAAATCAGCCATGATTTCCCCGTCTGTATTTAGGTAGAGGTCAAAAGCAAAACTCTGTCGTCCACACTGCAGTAGAGTGCTGGGTTTGTCCTTCYAAATGCTGCCTTTGTGGTGGGTACTCAGATGTGTTAGTTGCTGTCAGTARTGCAGACATGGGAGAGGGACACACAATGTCACAGTGTGCCATTTGTCCTGGGGGCTGGCAGGTTTGTCCCCCTGAACAGGGCAGTAAACTTCAATTTTGCCTTACCTGCTGAGCTGACTCRCTTTGCACAGCACAGGGAGCTATCACAACAAAACATTGGCTGGAGGCCTTAGTTCCTTTTAGTAGAACTTTGCTAACTGAGCTSTTCTCCTTTGAAGGTGATCCTCGTGCTGTATTTCCGCCTCTGGATAATGGGAGGCTCCATGCCGATGTTTTCAGAGCAGGACAACCCAGCTTCATTCTCTCCATATTTACTGACCAGGTATCATGACAGCAGTCAAACAAAAGTTTTCAAAAGTGTGGTCTTGATGTTGCATTTTCCTACRCTAAAATGGCTTGCAGATGATAATTGAAAAAAAACTTGTTTTGTTTTCTTAATTACTTCTCTGTATTGCTCTGTCTAGAACAGAATACAACCAGAATTATTTCTTGATGTTACACTTGATGTTACACTTTCCTGCACCAAAATGGCTTGCAGATGATAATTAAAAAAAAAAAAAACTTGTTTTGTTTTCTTAATTACTTTTCTGTATTGCTCTGTCTAGAATAGAATACAACCAGAATTATTTCCAAAGAACATTTGCAGGTGCTTTGTATTACAGGTGCTTTCTTACTGAAAAATGTGTGCTTATTTTTATGCAAAGCCCAAAGAATATAGTTTAATTGCCCAAGCACAGGACTGGAAAGCCCAGTAAMTGAGGCATAATCCTAAACCTTAAAAGTGGCTGCTTCTGAGATGTGGGATGGAGGCATTCAAAGTTTTGGCTTCAGCTGAAGTTTGTAAAAAGGGGGTGGCCATGCCTGTTGGTAGAATAGCAGTGACCGAGCAGTGAAGGTGGAGGGGCCATGAGCACCAGTGTTTGCTCTGGTTAGCTACTGAAAGACACTTGAAGCTTTCTGGAGGCATTTCCTGATGTCTCAGATGAAAATGGGAGCAGTCTTCCTGTGTGTCACTTTCTGGCCTTGCTGGCTCCTCATTCCAGCAGTGGAATTGCAGCTGAGACACAGATTGAGATCAAGCAATCCTTACCCAGAATCTGCTGCAGAACTGGACTGGATCTCGTTTGGGGAACCTTTGTTATCATAAATAATAAAGCAACAGCTTCTATTACCACCAAGGCTRTAAGTGCTTCCAGGAAGCACATTGTCTCTTTTGGAAAGCTCTAGTGTTTGTTTCTGGTGGAGTTATTAATACCAGCCTCAGTGCAGGGTTTGAAGGGTTTGCTGCTGTCCCTTTTTGATGTGTTTATGCTGAGATGGGGGTCACCAAGCCATAAATAATCCCAGCCTAATTTCAGTTACCTCTTCTGTGCTGCACGTGTCCTTTTGTGTTTGTCTCTTTGCCTCCTGTAATGACAGGGGAGGGTTTTTTAAACCTAAAAGCAAAGTCATTCTCAGGGTTTGGAACAGTGACTATTTTTACCACTGGCACTGTGGRTTTTATTAACAGCCTTAGGAAAAACAAGTCAGAGCACTGCTGGCTGAGATCCTTCCTTGGCCCCAGCAGCAGCCCTGGCTTCACCTGCAGTCCAGCAACACCTTCCTGCTCCACACTTAATTAAGGAAATCCATTCCAGTAAAAATCAGTTACTGTTCTGAAGGGATTCTAAAACTCTTTAATTATCCCWGTTCTTCCTTTTCTGCTGAGCTTGATCTTAATCCTCATTTTAGCCGATTTACCCAGAAGCTTTTATCTTCCATTCAGGAAACTCATCCTTTTAGCAGGTCTCAGTGTCAGTCCTGCAGGTACAGAGACCCAGTGACTGTCTCTGAACTGACAGCCCATGATGCACCCTCTGACCACAGCCCTTTTCTCAGCAACAAACCTTTTCCTTCTTCCTCTGTCAGACTCAAACCTTGACTCTCACCTGAGAATTTATCTTGCTGATAAAGTCAGAACTGAAGCTATTGCTGCAGAACTGACATTGAACCAGTCCTCCCAAGTGCAGGACTGGGGTGTCAGGTGGAGCTTGCAAGGTTCAGGTGGTTTCCAGGAAGGTTGAGGAAGATGATGCTGCTCTTGTGAGACCTCTCTTGGCACACTGCATCCAGCTCTGRGGTCCTTAGTGCAGGAAAGACATGGACCTGTTGGAGTGAGTCCAGAGGAAGGCCATGGGAGAGTTTGTTTATGAGAAATTATGATCCAACCTCGGAGAAGCTCCCAAGCAGTGTGTGTTCCTCAGCTGTGAACAGCAACAGTGCAGCAGAATGTGAAGAGCTCGTGTGGGAAGCTCTTAATAAGGTTTTGAAGGCAGTAATTAGGATACAGCACTTAAGCCAAGATGTTAATTGCAACTTGGGTTGAGTTGGGAAGAAGGAAGTGGAAGAGCTAAGTTTGGTGTCAAGACCAAAATCTAAAAGAAAGATCAGTTTTGGGTAGGGATCTTGAAGTGATTACTAACACTGTCACTGGTTGAAGCAAGGGTTAGTCTCAGGCAATGGGCAAGTTGTTTTGTAACTCTGAAGATCACAKAGGTCACAAATGGGAGTTTCTGTTTTCAAGGAGCTGTCTTTATTTGAGCTGGAAATGTGYTTTTTGCCCATGTCTCGCCAGGGTAAATGTTACGGTTTTCAACAGAGTTGAAAATTATTGTAAGACTTGGCCAGCTCTGTGGGGCTGGAAGGAAGGCTGATAACAGTGGAATAAAAAAGAAAAACAGTAGTTTGGAAATGTGTGGCAGTCTTTGTGGAATTCATGAGGTTAGATCTGGAGCTGGGGTCTCGGCTGACACGAGATGAACCCAACAGAGCATTTTAATGTTTGCAGAGCTTATTGGAGCCAACATTAGGGGTAGGTGTAAGYTTGGGGTTGGAAAATGTAGTGACTCCTGAGGTCAGAATTTGCCAGCCCTTAGAGTGGTTATAGCATAACTTCCAAGAATGGGGGTGTGAGAGGTCTGTGCATCCTCCACTGTGTGGAGGACGGGGATGGATATGGAATTTAGAGTGTTTCAAATAAATCTAAGAGGAGACAGATTCCAAGCAAGCCAAGGAGGTGGCTTGGAGCAGGTGGTTGAGCTGGGGAGCTTCTTCCTGCAGGAAGATCCTTCTGTCCCATGKGATCCTGGGAGTGTGCTGAACGTTTACGCAGGCTCAGAGAGAGATTTGCCAAGTTGAAATAAGAAATCCAGACTCCTAAATATGCACAAACAGCATCCAACCCAGAAACTCCCAACTCATCCAACTCCCCAGCTAGGAACTGGGGAAAAATTATCATCTGATATGCTTTACTTGGCATTGATTTTTTGGTCACTGCTGCTCAGAGCATTGATGTGGCTCAGTTTGGCCTTAGAACATGACCGTGTGTTCTGTGTAACCCATCTGCAATCTTGGACAGATATATAAATTAAAGTAGACAGATAATGGTTTATTTAACATATTGAAAGGCTAAATATGCTGAAATAATGACTGTTTTCCAATCTTTAAAAACAGTCATCTGTTCAGCATGCTCTCTAAATTACAAATGTTAAAATTAACAAGCAATATTCCCAAATACCTCAAAGCTTAGGAATATGCATGAAAGCCACATTTCCATGACCTTCATTGTGTTGCTTGGCAGAGGTGGACTGAGAAGATGGGWTGTGCCCATCATTCCCTTTCTCAGTGGAGGCAGAAGTGAAGGTTTTGGGAATACTCCTAGCCATGCCATGAAATCCTGTCCATCCACACTGTTGTGCACTGCAGGGAGGGTGTGCTGTCTCCAGTGGCCTTACCTTAAAGAACAYAGACTTTGATCTCAAAATCTGCTATGGATAAGCAATATTTGAGAGACAAAAACCAATCCCAAACCATCAGAGCTTGAGGGAGAATGCAGTGAGGAAGGTTTCCAGGGCTGCCCAGYTTTGCATAAACCGTGTACCAAAAGTGCAGCTCCAGAGTCAGGAGGGTGTTGAGTGGAGGGCTGACATGCTTCAGACGTTTTGCACAATGTTTCTTTCTTCTGCCATTCTTGAGGGGAAAGAAGTAGGAGGCCTCTGGATAAACAGATTGTGTTACCAGCACTGTGGCAAGACAAGGGAAAAATCCATTGTGCAGCAAGTCTCAAGCTGTGTGAAACCGATTAAATCTTACCTGTAATTTCAAACTAAAAGTTTGTTTTTTAAAAAAAAATATGTCTTTGGGAGTCAGGTTATATTCATTTCTGCTGGCTTTTGTCTTGTGATCCCTGGTGGCTGATTACTCTGRGCATGAAGCAGGTTATTTGTGGTGTTTCCTTAAATAGTTAATGCATTTYTACTTGGACTGCCTTGAGATAACGTTGTCCTGTGGTTGAACTGCTCTCCCTGTAAGCTGCCTTGCTGTATGCCTTTGCTGTTTCAATCAGGTAAATGAGAATTCAGTGCTGCAGAAAGCTGAAGAAGTGCTTATACATAAAAACTGGCACATAATCCTTTTCACAGAGATTTGTGACTGTTTTCTGAGCAATGCATTTAATCACTCCATTTGTAACTTCAAAGGGAATGAACTACTGAGAGGCAAACCCTGGACCTGTACTGGGAAAAYGGGTCCCTGTGCCAGCCAGTCCTGCCAAGGAAATAGAAGTCAAGTGGAGCAACTACTTTGGGATGGAGTTTTCATGGACCTCAGGCTAGAAATTAGCATGAAAATAGACCTCTGTGATGTATCAGCTCTTCATCAGCCAGGCTTGCACACGCTGCCTGAGTGGTGAAGCTCTGCCTGGTTTGTCAGTGATTTCTGTTGTGTGCCCAGAGGTGCTTCAGTTCAGGCCCATGTGTAACCTCTGCAGGCACCCAGCGTTCAGGAATCACTTCTGACAAAAGGGAGAACAGCAGTGTTGGTAAAAATTGCTCTCATGCCTGYCCAGGGGCCAGACAGTCCATACATCAAATGTAAAATGTAGTTTTTATTTCAAGGGGTGCACTCTGCTTCTCCCCCTGTGCCTTCCAGAGAARTTGTTCCAGATTCCCTTTCCTTTCCATCAAACTGCAGCTCTCTGTTTATCCTTATCTTTGTCTTTCCTACTCCTGTCCTCTGCTGACTGGCAGCTCTTTTCCCTGAATGCAGATGGGTTGATGAAAGGGAATACACAGGTACTTCTTCCAGGTATGAGTATTTTCTGTCTGGCTCGTGTTTGGATGTTAAATGGAATTAATCTGTCTGCTGCTTGTTTGTGTAGCTTACTCCACTGTCACTGAATGAAGATAGATAGATAGATAGATTAGATTGATAGGTAAATTAGATAGCTAGATGGGTAGATAGATAGATAGATAGATAGATAGATAGATAGATAGATAGATAGATAGATAGATAGATAGATAAGTGGTTTTTTTTTTTTCCTTCTAATGCTCTGAAAAGAAAATGTTTAGGTCGACAATATATCAGAGCAGGAAAATAAACTGATGTGGGGAGGGGTATGACTGGACTGGGAGTTCCCCAGGGGAAGTCCAAATATATACAATTTGAAGACAATATCTTTAAAACCACCACCTGGTTATAATTGCAGCCACATGTGTCCTAGGGGGACATTATTGTGAAGTGACTTGTCAAACACACTTGGGTTTAGGGCTGTKTAAGAGGATGAAGAGAGCCTTGAGCTGAAATCAGTTCAGCTGTTAATACAAATGAGAAGCTCTTTTCCCAAATAAAAAAGCTCTTCTTACCCTGACAGTGAACTGAAACCTCCCCATGTGCCTGGCAGTGTGGAGGCCTTGTCAGAAGAACATAACCAAGGTGTGTGACTTCTGAGAGGGCAAAAACCAAATTCCTGTTTCTGTTTCAGATCCCCACCTGCTTCCTTCATACCTCCCCTTCCATTTCCCCAAGTACCAGTTACGTGCACTCATTACCTGTCTTCTAGATAGGTCCATTTTTTTTTCCCAACCAGAAGAATGCTTTTCCTTTCCTTGGCTAAAATCCCCAGTGCTGGGAGATGTTTCCCTGGCAGGTGGGTGCCCTGCTGRSTCTCTGTGGGTAGGGTTGTCTGTCAGCAGTGGGATGGGTGGTCCCAGAACTGGTTGGCTGGTAGGTTGCAGTATTGCATGCACCTAGAAAAATTAGGATCACTGGCTCCCACTTTTCCATGAAGGTTAAGTGGGACATGGTCAGAGATTTGTGATCACTCCCATAGCACAGGTTTAGAAAGAAATCTATAATCTCTGTCCCTGGGAGCTGCAGGGAGTAAGATTAAACTGCTTCAGAATCAGAAAAGAAGGGAAACRCCTCATAAATTTCTATAAATCTTGTTGGTTTTTTTGTTGTTGGTTTTTTTTTTTCACCTAGTCTCACAGTCCTTGTGCTCTGATTGCCTGGGTTTGGCAGAGGTGAGATGGGGGCTTTTCCAAGCTCATTGGTCTCTATTGCAGCATAGAGTAACAGATAATTCCTCGAGTATTTCCCTCTCATATTGTTTATGGCTTTAAGGAGTACCSTTTGCCCTCATTTTTGCAGCAGAAACATTCAGTTCAGATAATTGTTTTCTGCAACAAGTTCTGATATGAGTCATCCTTTATTTATCTCATGTATTTATCTCAAAGCATGCAACAGTGCATTTAAACTCAAAAATTTAAAACCAAACAAACTGGATTGCCATGACAACACCGGCTACCTACAGAAGGAACTGTGTTTTGCTGAGCATGCCAGAGATGATGAGAAATGCAAAGAAACACTTGATACTCACTGAAACTTAAATTTCCATGTTCAATTTGTAAATAAAAAAAAATCTGCGATGCAAATGCTGCTACCTGGCCTGGGGAAAGACTGTTTGCCAGTTAAGAGGCAGAATCTTCCAGTTACCTCACCAGTAATACTCTGATTTTCACGGGATTAACTGAGAGAGTGGGAGTTGTTGGAGGCAGGGATTTTTCTCCCTTGGAATTCCAGCAGACACCAGAAGCAATATAGAGATCATTAATTTAAAATGTAATTCACTCAGTCAACTAATTAAAAGAAAATACTCTTGTTGCCATTTGCAGGTAGACTGCTGATGTGTAATTAGCTCCTGGAATGATTTCAGAATCTTCAAGCCATTTCAAAATTTGCACATTAGTTCCTTGAGGTGTCAGCTTTGGTAAGAGGTTTCTTCCAAACTTTCTCCTGTGTTTAGCTTTCTCTTTTGGCTTGTGATACGAGAGCCACATAGATGTGAAGGAATATCATATGCTTTCGAGAGCCATAAATAAAAAGCAGCCCTGAATTGTCAGTAGCTATTATTAGCATCCTGTTGTTTTTCTGTTGCTAGCACCTAGAATAGCGATAGTTTGTAGTGCTTTATTTTATACAGCCATCCATCATGYCCAAGGACAGGTTACCAGTGCTGAAAGTGTATTCAAACTTTTGYTTGACTCAGAGCCCACTCAAGGCTTTCTTGCAGCTTACAAATGCCTCCAAATCCCTTCGTGGGTGTTGGTGCTGTGCCTGCTCATGGCTCATGCACGTTCAGTGAGGGTGCTTGGCTTGGCCATGAGATGTGCCCAAGGGTTGTGCAGAAGGGCATTTTTACCAGTTGGCTGTGCACAGAGGGTAGTGACTGTCACAGGGTTTAAAATACTTCACTGCTGTTGGAAGAGAGTTTAAAGATTGATTCTTGCCATGGTGGAATGGAGCAATTGCCCATCTCCTGTAGCACTGACCTCTGGCAGTGAGTCCAGGGCTCCCAAGGAAGGCTGAAACCTCACAAGCACCTGCAAACAGACCCTTGTTTGCAAACCCCTCCTGATAGTGAGCACCCTGGAGTTGTCTTCCCTTCTTCAACAGCAAATTGTCCTAACCTTCCAGCAGAAACTGGCTGCTCCAGATTGCTCTGAAATTGTTAARCTGACTCAATTTGTTATGGCAGCAGGCTGTGTTTATTTATTCTGTGCTGTGTAAGGATATATCAGCTGCTTATCAGTGAAGATGCAGAAAAGCAGCTAGTCTGCCCTTCACTGCAGTGCTGCAGTTTGCAAAGATCCCAAATGTCATCTTGTCCCTTCCTGCCCAGCAGCCCAGTCTGAGTAAGCAGGGGAGGGTTTTGTGGTTTGTATAAAATTTTCCATGAATATTGTGATGCCTATTGAAAATATTAATATGCCAGGGCATAAAAGGACACTCCCTCCAAAAACTGGGCTCTCCTAGAGCATCAAGTGTAAAACCAACAGAGCTTCTGGAAATCCTCTCTGATACAGACACTTGCAGTAACAATATTGTATGCCGTGACATTATTCAGATTCATCTRAATGGACATGCTTTTGTTTTAACAGTAAAGCTAGAAGTGGGTCTCAGTTTGGCTTTGAAGCAAGTAGCTGTAAATAAATGCTGGCAGCTTTTTCTGAGCTGATGTGTTGAGTCTGATGGAGAAGTCTGTTTTTATTGTGGCTGAGCAGAGGTGGGTCAGGCCACACACAATGTCACGAGTGAGTGCCTCGGTGTGATTGAGTCCCACCAGATTTTGTCTTGCTGTGTTTCTCTGTAATATGGGTCAGCAGAGATTGGGTTGGTGAGTAGAAAACACACTTTTGTTTCTTTAGAAAGAGTGAACAATCAAACTTTTGGAATAGTTTGTGTAAAATTAGGTTATGTTTTTGAGGGATGCTTTCTTAAAYAGGAACTGGCTTTTTAATCGCTGCYTCTGTTAAGAGAAGATGGATTTTTTTTTCTCTTTCCCCTTTGTTTAATACCTCAKGGTGGGGAAGGTGAGAAAAATGGGGGGATGGAAGAGAAGTGTACCMAATGGCTGAAAACCTTAAAAATGTGGAATTATTCTACTTTCCAGAGTTGGAAGCTTAGAAAAATTTGTGGGAAAATGAGAATGCGCCTCTGTGACTGTTTACAATGAAACATTCCAGCTCAGTAATCCTCCTTGCTTTTGGGTCACTGTGCTCCTGGAGACATTTATTTTTTGGATGAGAAAAGAAACTGATATCCTAACTTTGTRGTTATTTAAATATGTTTTCACAGAAATTTATGACCCAACACCCATCTGAGAACTTCCTGTCTGGAGTCACACTTAGCTTCAATGTATTACCATTCTGGCACAAATATAATGTTGTAGGTGTTGTTGTAAGGGGCTGCATTTTGMCCACAAAGGGGCATGTTTGTAAGTGGCAAGTGAGACAATCCTCTGCCTATATGCCTTGACATTTCTGCCATCCTTTGTTGCCATTTTAATAAACCTGCTAAGGTACCATGGCAACTGGTTGTGATAACAACTGCCAAAGCAGGCTCATGTGGAAAAAATCCTATGCAGGATAGAATATATTTTTTTGAGTATTTGCCATTTTCAGTGCTGTGTACAATGTGGATTTTTCCACTTGCAAGCCAAGGAAGGGTTTGTCTGTTTGAAGGCTGTTGCAATTTTACTTGGTTGACTTCATGATTGCTGGAATAATCTGCAGTCTCTTGCACGCAAAAGTATTTCAACTTTAGATGCACTTTTTTGGCAAGTAGATGCCAAGAAGCAAAAGCCTGGGGCAGAGAGGGATTGGTTGATGTGATTTTTTTCTTGTTTTCTTTTAACCCAGTTGCACATATGCTGTTCTTTTTCAGTCTTTTTAAAGCCCTGCACACTTCCCAGAGGGCAGCGTGCTCCCCATTTCCATTCCCCATTAATTTCCTTTCTATTGAGAATAACAATTATTGAAGATTACAACAATTTGAAAGGCTCTCTACTTCCCCATCACTTCTGTGGCACATCTCACACAATCTGGACCCAGACCTGATAAACTGCCATGGGATCATCCAGGAATCACCCCGTCCCCTCTTTCTTCAGTCCATTTTCCCTGTGCCTTGATTTGCATAGAGAAAAGAGAGAAGGGTCTGAGTTTCATTGCTCCATGTTGTGCACATAGGTGAAATCCTAAATTGTAGGTTAAACCCAGCTAGAAGGATATTTTGTATTGCAGCAAACATGCAATGGACTGTGTAGAAGTTCAATATATATGTATGTACCTGCTTAGTAATTAATTTATTGTTTAAGCTGGCAAAAAGTCACTTCAAAAATGTGACATTCAAATAGGAATTGAAGATCTGTTGGTTTTCCAAAGGCTGGTGCATAGAAACCATGTAAATATTATTCATATTACGTTACTTCATTAAATGACCTTTTAAAGTGCCCCTCACCTATGGCAGCATCTCTTTACTGACAGAGAGATGTGGTGCTGCCCGTGCCTGCAGTGCTGTTGATTAATTTTTTTTTTGTTGTTCCCACCTCTCTTGCAGTATGTGGCAAATACCAAAGGAAAATGTTTCCCATGCTGGCAGTCATTCCATGTRTGACATGACCTGTTTTCATTTGCAGGTTTTTAACTTATTCCTACCTTCTGGCCTTCAACGCGTGGCTCCTGCTGGCCCCCATCACCCTGTGCTACGACTGGCAGGTGGGCAGCATCCCSTTGGTGGAGTCCATCTGGGATGTCAGGAATTTAGCCACGGTRTTCCTGGTGCTGGTGATGACATTGCTCAGCCTACACTGCATTGCTGCGTTCAAGGTAACRCCAAAAGCCSTGCRATACAACATTTAAAAAAAAATAWTAAATCTGTTGTTTTCTAATCTTYAGATGAAATGGTTGGTAAACACGTKTTTTCTTCTGGAATGCGTTGGATTRGGGTGAAAAACYGTACCAGTAATGACTRATGCAGGCAAACTCAACTGATGAAAATGTCTCTGTAGCTGAATGTTACAGTCTGTAATCAGTCTGATCTGAGGGCAGAGCTGGGCCAGGACTCCTGCATTCAATTACTGTTAATGATCCAAACCCCACTGAAGTTGTTAAGCATCCCTTCCTCTCCCATCGTCATTAGGCCTTTTTGTCACTTACTTCAAACAGGACTGGGAACTGGAGCCTTTTGAAAATAAAATAAATTCCTCTATTTGCACTCTTGCTGTGCTTCTGAAACCTAAACTTTGGATACATCTTGATGGGAAGGGTTTTTTTTTTTGTCAGCGGAGTAATGGAATGTGGGAAATCAGAAATGATCTGGAAATGGTTCTTTAGCATAAATAATACAGTTGGTAAGCCATACTTCCCAATTCAGCGTTTCAGAGGCACCATTAATCCAGAAATGAAAGTGAGGTTGTACAAGCCTTGTCAGAGATCATATATGCAGCACTTCCCTGGAAGGGCTTTTTTTGTGGATCACAGGGAGTTACAAGCTGTTCCTCTTTCAGTTATGTTGCAGAAGCTTCTTTAGGAAAGGTGTAGTCACTTTGGAAAGGGTACAAAAGTTTCTCTTYCTTAAATGTGTGTATTGCTGAAAAACACAGCAGAAGAGTGTCAGGTTTTTAATACCTGTGTTATGCTAAAATCTGCAGGTCATGTACATTTTCAGTCTACCCTGGCAGTCTTCCTGTGCTCCTGATCAGAGACAGAAAATGAACCAAACAGTTTGAGGCTGCAGAGTCATTAATTTAGATAATACATTGACAGATGCTGTATGGGAAATATGGGAAAATACTCTATTAGGTATTCACTMGTTCTACCTGCAGGTTGTACATCATCTCATATTCCTCCTGCTTTCATTACTCACTGCTAGAGATATTCAGAAGTGTTTGTATTAGACCTAATCCTGTTCTCAGGAAAGTTAATGATAAAATTCTCATTTGCCCAGTACTGAAGACTTCTGAAAAATCTTATTCTGTGTTCTTTGAAGTTTTGTTTGCTTTTTATTTCTTCTCCTGCTCTCATAATTTGAACTATGTGTAGAATTAATAATGTTGGCTTGCTTGAAAAAGATTTTATCGTATTTTTATTACATTTTTTTTCATTAAAAGCAAAACAATTCAGTCTGGATTTATGAATACCAGTGTTTGATTTGAAACTGAGGGTTGTAATCTTTTCGTGAGAAGTTCGGTTTTGTTGTTGACCACTGTTAATGTTCAACAACATGAATTTTCCTCTTTGGGCATTTACTTACTAGATGGTTTGAAATTCATCTTAAAGATTCCTTTTTGTTTATCTTTGAAAATCTCAAATACTGAAATTGGGTCTGAAGTTGRAGATATAACCTCCTGTTGTATCAAATCCAGTAAAATTAGAACCATCTTGACCAAGAGCTCCGATGASTCTCCACTTGCAGCTTCCAACAAAAACCCACTGTGAGCATGGAACTGGTGACAGTTCCTGGGGATCACCTTGGACATTCTTCCCCCAGCCCAAGGCACAGAATTATGGAATCACAGAAGGGTTTGTTTGGAAGGGGCCTTAAAGATCATCCAGTTCCAACCCGCCCAGCCTGGCCTGGAACGCAACCAGGGATGGAGCATATCTATCTATCTATATATATAAAATTAGATGTATAATTGGAGGTAGCTGAAATATTTTACTTTTCAGGAAATTCTGCATTTCTGAAGCTATTTTTTATTTTGTTTTTAACAACTCACACCATCACCCAATCATGGTACTGCCATTAATTGTTATGAAGATGATTGTGTTGGACTGAACTATCAAGGAAAGCAAACAGGAAGCAGCACTTTTCCTGGAAATAAACTATGCCATTTGACTTCAAACAATCATTTTTATAACAGGGAGAGGGAAGTTCAGGGCACATGAGCTGCAGGCACAATTCATTGTATTAATGTCTTAGGAAAGCATCTTTCCAAATGCAACAGCAGTGGACTTTTGTAGGGCACTGCTCCCCACAAGAAGGACCATCCTTCTGTTAAGGTATTTCTCAGTATTTAACAGCTTATAGGCAGCATGAGATGCATCAGTTGGTTTCTCACATTTCWTAAAGTGCAAGTTATTCTGCTTTCTTTTTGAACCAAATAGAACAGTCTTTGCAGCCATTTTTCTCTCCTTTTTTCATTGCAAGGTCTAACCTGGAAGAGRTAGCTTGCAATTTCCTAAGGAATGGCTGCAGAGTGAGCAGGCATGCAGTTTGTGTGCCTTCTGTTGGAGACTGTAGGTGTGCAGGGGTGAGGGAGAACAAAACCTCACATTTATTCTCAGTGGCACCATCGCTTCCCTTTCTGCAGCGTGGAGAAGGGAAATGCTGAAAATTCTTTTGACAGCAGTGAAGACCTTGGGACAGTGAACATGGAACTGATTTTTAGTGGCAAGAGGTGATGTGTGTGCATCCAAAACACAAACTCACAGGAGACTTGCAGAATATTTTGTGTGGACTGTAATTAGAGAATGCATTTATTGGATTTCTGCTTTTGCTGTTTTTTTGCATTTTAAACAGGGCTAATTTGTTGCTGATGTTTGTGATTAGGGCAATAACTCTGTTGGGCATGTGTGTGTGGTGCTGGTAAAGGACATCTAAGGCATGAAGCTTTCTTGTTTCATTTCATTCTGTGAACGTTGTTATACCTCAGAAAGAGAAGAAATAATGCAAGATTTCTACCCATCGGTGCTTTGCTTGGAACAGGTCTGTTATTGGATGGGGGTTAATTGCTGAAAACTGCAGAAAAGGAGAAGGCAGYTCTGCAGTTTGTTTGGAGAGAGAARCCTTCCTTCTCATCCTGCTTCTGCCCTTTCWTTATTGTCTCCCTCCTTACTTAGTGAGGAGATCACCTGAAAAATTGCTTTGTTAACTCTCTGTGKGTAACTTCATTCTCTGGGTGGTTTCTTCTGCATATTGTGAGCTCCTGTTGTTTGTCAGCTGGAGAGCTCCCTGTGAACAGCTCCCCAAGTCAGACCTGTTTCTGTGCAGTGTTGAGGTGCACAGCTAYGCTTGTGTCTTGCTGCAGCTGTCCCTGTCTCATGCACAATTAATACCTGACTTCAGGAGGTCTGACAGGAATRAAGAAAAAGCCAGCTCCTTGTTGCAGCAGCCACTCAGGAGGAAAGGACCTTGCTGTTTCTGGCCACGGTTTTTCCATGATGACTAATGTGACAAAGCTACATTAGGCAGCTCCTGAAACCTTTTGGGACTCGATTTTTCACCAGGCAGTTGCCCAGGGTGCTCTGCAGATTGGYCTCTCTGGAGCTGTTCTGGCCAAGGCACCAGGAGTCACATCWCAGAATCCTCAGGTTCTGCCCTGCKCTTTGCAGTGACCTTCCCCACATGGGCTTCAAGGATGTGCTGGGGATGTGACAAAGGCTGGGGGTGCTGTTCAAAACACCTGCATCCAGGAGAAATATTAAAAGCTGGGAAAAGTGGATGACATTGATTTATTGTTCATTTTCTAAGACAGCCTTGGCTACGAGGAATGGATGTGGTGTGACTTCCACACCCATGGAACCCATCCACACCTAAAATGGATGGATTACAAAGGTACCAGGAAATGCTTGAGGCTTTCTCTCATTGGGRATCAAGCATGCCAGTCATAAGGTCAGAGAAACAATCTGGTGCTTCAGATGGCCACAGGGCTGCCCAAAGGCCCATGGCACAGCCTTGCTTTGCTGGAAGATGCAGGGAGCACCTGGTGAASTGGAGGGAGGACAATTCTTGGCATTATCATCAGGATGACAGTTATTTCTTTGACATGTCATAATAATTCAATGAGCATGAAAGGAAGACCCTTCAGATGTTTCAAGTGCCACTCTGCATGGCATTTTTAGGTCGCTGCTTAATTAGCAGTGTGATTAAAATGCAGCTTTTCCTTTAGTTGTAGCTGTGAATGGATGTGAACTGAGCACGTGATGGATAGGATTTCACTTTCTCTGTGGTACCTGATATGTGGAGAGCTGACTGTGGGAAAACTCRTGGGTGTAATGGGCTGATTCAGCTGGGTGATTTGGAAAACTTAACTTGAAACAGTGGCTTTTGCACTTGGCCAGTGTGGGGGAGTGTATTACACCTCAGTCTGATGGCCCCCACACACCTGTACTGGTGACCAGCGCTGTGGAGGAGCCTTGTGGTGGTTCCCAGTTCTCTTGTTCAGCAGGAGCACWTTAAAATGTGCTGCAGTTTGGCCATGTCCAAGGAGGGAATGCTACCAACATTCACATCAATTAAAAACATGCATCTAGTGTGCTCTAGGATATAACTTCCTTAAAGAACACGCCTGTTCTGTGTGCTGTGGCTACATATGGTACAGGGGGTTGTGATGGTTTTCAGGTTATATTCACTGCATGTGACTGACATATGTTTTATCTTGATCTTTCATATGTTACATTTGGTTGGTTTTTATTTCAGCTCTAATTTTAAAGGTGATGCTGCCTCTCTAAATTTCCCTGCATGGTGCTTCTTAGCCAAGACAAGACATTTTATACCATATTGTGAAGACTTTAAGTCATGCTGTAATTGGCAACGTGTTGCCATTTATCTGGTGGATTATGTGTATGGRTATCATGTGAGGATAATCTTCAGTGACTTTCAGACTAAATTTCTTAGCTAACAACGTTCAGTACCATCAAGGAGAGGAATGCATTTGCATGTTTCTGTTGTTTTTGCTAGCACTCACTCTATGTGTTCTGTCATGCTATTTAYTTTACCCTGCACTCCTGAGACCTTTGCCTGGTTTCCCAGGTTTGGCATTTCATTAATAAATCACAGCTTATGGGCCTTTCTGGGGAACAATTGCCTTTTATAATATTCTACA